AAAAAAAAAAAAAAAAAGACTGCTGTTGGGTGATGGGCGTGTTGTGTGTGAGCCAAGGGTAATGTTGCACCACCGTTCAGTTTCAGGTGAACCAAGGTTCCCGAGTCATCTGTTTCTGGAACAGCGAAGCCCCCCGCCGCCGCCACCGCCCCCCACGCTTCTTAGCAGCACTCACCCAGTGCCCACCCCTAGCCCCTTACCGTTCACTCAGCCGGGACCAGCGTTTAGTCAGCAGGGACAGCAGCCCGTGTTCCCCAGAGAGAGGCCCGTCCGGCCGGCCCTCCAGCCGCCAGGTCCCGTGGGGATCCTTCACTTCAGCCAGCCGGGCTCAGCGGCCACGCGGCCCTTCATCCCTCCTCGACAGCCCTTCCTGCCCGGCCCGGGACAGCCGTTCCTGCCCGGCCACGCGCAGCCCAGCCTGCAGGTACGCAGCAGGCTGTGTGGAGGGGGCACCAGAGCTTTGGGTCTCTGTGTCTCAGAAGGTGATGTTTCCTGTGCCGTCCGAGTCTGCTAGTGTGTGGAGGTTATGGAGAGGATAAGGATTTAGTCTTGAACATGCTACTTATTAAAGGCAGCTTTCTTGACAATATTATTTTTCTCCCTAATCGTAGGAGAAATGAAAAAATTCAGTATTTGATTTCTTTTAAAAGGTGGTACTGCTAGTAAAGTTAGGACATGTTTTGATAATACCTTTGCTCCTCATTGCAAGATGCTGGAAAGGTTCACCAGTGGAAATAAAGTTCTTTGTCGAATTATGTTCCTGCAAAATGTAGCAGAAAGATTCTTTGCATGGAGGGAAGAACGGAGTCGCTGTTCCCCTGTGGTTGGGAAGATTTGCGTGCCCCCTTCTGCAGGCAGTGTTGCGCGGGGGCCTGGCGCTTCCGTGAGATCCTTCTTGCCCCGTATGACTCTGCTCAGACTTAGCCCTACTAGTGAGATACAGAATCACCGTATCCTTGAATCAACTATTTGGAAACATGCAGACTATCGAAATTAAGAAAAAAAATGATTTCCGTGTTAAAGTAGGGTAAAATGTTTCATTTTTTTAAATTAAAAACTATGAGTACATCTCCGTTGCAGCAACGTTTGAGTATTTAAAAAGGGAAGTGAGAAATCCCAGGGTCTGGGAACAGTCACCACCAGCATTCGGGTGCTGGTGGTCCCCGGGGGTGCGGTGCAGCCTCGTCACCCTGCCTGGTTGACGGGGCAGCAGGCTCCCCTGCTCGTGAGTCCTCACCGCCGCCTTCAGAAGGTGCCGCCCGGGTTGACAGGCACGCTCGTCGCTTCGGTACTCTGGTGTCGGCAAGTGCCGTCCGCGTCCGCAGCGCTGTGTGCTTGCGGCCGTGCTGCTTTCCTTAGAGCAGACTCCTGGAGTTTTGGGGCTGAGAGGACTCAGGGCAAATATAAAATATACGAGCTTAGCTTTTGGCAGATCCTCTTACCTCTGCCCACAAATTCTAAAATGAAATTTTAGTGCCACTTCAGGTTTCTGATGCTGGGGTGTTTTGTGCATCGGAACATCACATGTGTACCTTTCCAAACTGTCGTGTCTCTTTCTTCCCGCCGGGAAGGGGCCCCTGCACCCCCCACTGCCCCCGCCGCACCAGCCGCAGCCCCAGCCCCCGCAGCAGCCCCCGCTCCAGCCGCAGCACCAGCCGCCGCTGCAGCCGCCCCCGCAGCACCAGCCGCCCCCGCAGCCGCCTCACCAGCCCCCGCACCAGCACCAGCACCACCTCTCCGTCCCGCCGCCGCCGCTCATGCCCATGGCGCAGCCCCAGTTCAGGCCTCACGTCCAGACGGCGCAGCCTCCGCCCGGCGGCGGCCGGATGCAGTGCTCCCAGCGCCAGGGACTGCGGCATGTGAGTGTCTCGGGGGGGCTTGGAGGGCCCGGGACATGAGGGGCAGTACCTGGGAGCTGGAACATTCTCCAGTTCCGATTAGGTTATTGAAACATGTATAGTACGTTTCTGTAAAGTGAGTGTATGTTGAAAAAAACTGCTTACTTAGGAAACGGATTTTCTTAGGACTACACAAATTAAGGAAGTCCCGTTTGTGCCAGAAAGACTGCGTTGATGTTCTCTACCTCCTCCTCTTCTGTGTATCTAGATATTTTCATAGTGATAGATGGTATTATTCGTAGACACATAATTTTAGCAAATGCTTGTGGGTGGTGGGCACTCTGCCTTTGCCAGTAGCCTGCTTTTGGATGGCTGGATTGTCTCTGTCTTCTTGGGCTCTGAATAATTAAATAAATGAGTTCAGGAAGAATTGTCTGACTAGTCTCTGTTGCTAGGCACCATTCCAGTTCCCAGGAAAGTACCTGCGAACACGAGGGCCAGTTTCCTGCCTTCATGAGGCCCGTATTTAATGGTGGGAGATGAACATTTAGCTATGAGGGTACAGGCTGGGGACCATCAGCTAGCGTGTGACTCGGCTTGCACGGAAGGAAACTAGGAAATGTGCGTTGCTCCACAAACACAAGACAGTAGTCTTTGCTGTTGTCTTGTCTTCCATTAAGTAACTCCATAAAGAGGCTGCTGGTTAGAGCGATGGGGAGGTAATTAGGCTTTCCTTTAAGTACTTTCCCCTTGACCTGCAGCTTCACGCGTGTCACTTAGCCACTTGTAATTTCAGTTTTCTCATACTCACTAGCCTTTCTTTCTTTGCTAAAGTAGCATTGAGACTAACATGATGTAAGAAATGAGGAAGGACTTGGGGAGAGCGGCGTTGTGACAGAGGCTTTGTTCCGTTACAGCAGCGTAACAGATACACCCCTGCCTGTGCCCTTGGGCCCCGACCTGGTGCTGTCGGAGCGCAGTCCTCCCCCAGCCGTCCCCACTACCTGTGCGCTCCTCTAGCTGTTGGCTCTCTGTTAAGAATCTGGGGGATGAGCAGGGCTAAGACTTTCCTCTCAGGTGAAGCTTTGGAGCATGCTTCCCTGGCAGGGCGGTTTCCGTAGGACACTGACTGACTGTCCTGTTCTTGTTCCACCCGGAATGCAGGGCCCAGTAAAAGCGGTGCCCGCCGCCCTTTGTTGGCCCGATCGGTTTTGTTAAAAACCTCAGTCCCCATCCTTAGGCAGCAGTCGCAGTCCCGTGGTGGTAATTTCTGTTCAAAAGGAGCCCGTCCACAGGCAGGTAGGGTAACCTTGACCAGGCCTGACCCTCAGCAGTAGCGTGTGCTGCCCCATAGAGCAGGAGCGACCCTGCGTGAAAGAAGGCGTTCACATGGGAAAGTATCAGCGCCCCAGAAGGAGAAGTCACGTAGTAGTTAACATGATTCTTGTAACATTTGTATCTAAGAATGCACCTTTTTATGTTCCTTCTCCCAAGTATCCAGTTGTAGTTTAAATTTCTTTCTTCTCATGCTAGAATACAACTTCTCAGAATGTGTCCAAACGGCCAATGCAGCAAATGCAGCCGGCTGCCCCGAGAAACAGTAACCTGCGGGAGCTGCCCATCGCGCCGGCGCACGTCATGGAGATGAGCAGCAGCCGCTGCTCCTCCACGCCTGCGGCTCCAGGGAAGCCTGTCGCCAGCACGTCACCGCCCACGAGGCCGGGGGGCGGGCCCAGGAGCACACAGGGCAAGACCGAAGCCAAAGTCAAGCCAGTCAGCCCTGCGGTTCAGCCCAAAGAGGAGGCAAAAGCAGAACCAGAGGTAAGACCATTTTCATTAAAGAATCTTTGATCTCAAATGGAAAGCCTTACAATCAGCTTGTTCCTCTGTGTCCACTTGTCCAGCAGGTTTTTCATAAAACTGTCACTTTTTTCCAGCCAGATCCTTCAGTGAACCTAACAGCCATGTCCATGTGAGACGCACTCATCCTCACGGGTTTATGATGTTAGGTGGCATTTGTGTGTTTGTCCGGTTGTAGCTGGTGCTGCGGAGCCTGGTACCTCCAGGGGGTGGGTAGCAGGTTATTGGATCTGTTAGCCTGATGCTTCCGTGCGAGGGGGTTCAGTCCCGGGCTGTTCCCTGGAGATACAGATGCCGCAGTGGAGCAGATCTGTGCGGCAAAGCTCCTAACCCAGCACAGGAGTCTGCTGTCCCTAGGTTAGTAACGCACCCTGGGAGGGGTCCGCCATTCGCAGCAGTGGCTTTTGTGTCCGGGGTGTGCGAAAAGATGAGTATGTGGAAGTTACACCAATATTTTTTAAAGGTATATAAAAGGTATACAGTGAGTTCGTAACATTTAATTAATATAATGAAAACATGGGGCCCCTGGGTGGCTCAGTGGGTTAAAGCCTCTGCCTTCGGCTCAGGTCATGATCCCAGGGTCCTGGGATCGAGCCCCCATCGGGCTCTCTGCTTGGCTGGGAGCCTGCTTCCTCCTCTCTCTCTGCCTACTTGTGATCTCTGCCTGTCAAATAAATAAAATCTTAAAAAAAAAAAAAATGAAAACAGCAGTGTGAAGAACTTCATGAGGTAATATAGGCATGAAATAAGTCACGTTTTCTTTTTTCTTTTTCTTTTTTTTAAAAAAGATCTTATTTATTTGTCAGCACGCACAGGCAGGGGCGGCAGCAGAGCAGGCAGAGGGAGAGGAGGAAACAGGCTCCCCGATGAGCAGGGAGCCCAATGCGGGGCTCAATCCCAGGACCTTGGGATCACGACCTGAGCCGAAGGCAGACGCTTTACCGACTGAGCCACCCAGACATCCCTAAGTCATGTTCTCTTAATCAGTTACCTTTCCATTGAAATTTGGAGGTGGGGTCAGATTTTCCTAATAAACTTTTTTTTTTTTTTAAAGATTTATTCATTTATTTTTTTTAGAGAGCGAGCTGGTGGGAGGGAAGGGCAGAGGGAGTAGGAGAGAGAATCCCAAGCAGGCTCCTCGCCAGCTGTGGAGCCCGAAGGAGGGCTCCGTCTCACTGATCCTGTTACCACAACCTGAGCCAAAATCAAGATGGAATGTTTGACGGACCACACCACTCAGGTGCCCAGGCTTTCCTGGTAAATGCTTGGAGCAGTGGTCACGTCACATTACCACATGAGGAAGTAAATGCAAAGTCAAGACACAGTGTTAACAACTAAGATCATATTAAAAGAATGGGCGAGTTTTTTGGTTTTAAAGTCAATATATGAAAAAATTAGGTAGATTTACAAAGTGGTTTAGGATAGTTTATAAAAAGAAATTTTAGCTAAAAATTTTATCCTGCTTATAGTCCAGATAGCTCGCCTCTTGTATGTATAACCCGATTTGGCTCAGAAAAATTAAGTCACGGGACACTTTAATTTTCTAGTAGCGGTGGCTGAATAAAATGAGCAGCGTGAGTTTTAGGCACACCACGGGCCACTTGGGGCTGCTCTGTTCCCAGCTGGTTTGGGGAAGCCCTCGGTGGAACCCAGCAGGTGCTCTGTGTATGAAGTGGGACTCGCAGGTAGCCGTCGTGTAAGTTGGATGTCTTCGTGTATTTGCTTGTCATTCTGTGTTGGGTGCATGCGGTGGGACCAAGAGTGACACCATTTTACTTTGTGAGAAGTCTTGTATTTGTTTGGCTTGGGTAAATGTGGTTTATTTTCTTACGTTCACCCAATTGGTGATGATAAAATAAAGGACAAAGCTGTGTACAAGTGTGTATTCGTACCTACTTGAACGTGTATTAATGCTTTCTTGATTGCTTGGGGAGCTTGCTTGGTGAATGTGAACTGCTCCTGTGCCGGAACAGCAGGTGCTCCGGACCTGCCGCCTCCCCCGGCAGTCGGCCTCTTCCTGAAAGCCGCGGCGCCTGCGCCTTTGAGCTGTTGTCCACTTCCTCCTGTCTGTCCGTCTTCCCTTAACAAGTGTTATCTTTCTCCGGATGCCTCCCTGAGCCTTCATCTACCTTGGATTTGTTATTTCAGATCTGTCCTAGACTTTGAAAGTCGATAACCAAGTTGGTTGGGATGGCTTCTGAAAATGCCAGGCAAGTCCTCACGAGGCCTGACTCTGTCCTTGGTCAATTGTGTGGGTTCTGGGAGCACCCACGGACTCCCAGCTGCCTTTTGGTCGTAATTCCTGATTCTTAAGGTTTATTTGTTCCTGGCTGAATTATAGTGAGATCAGATCCTATTAAGTTCTTTTGTAAAGGATCTTTGGATGAGGGGATCTGCGATTTTTTTTTTTTTAAAGAAAATTACTGTAATTCTTAACAAATGCTTACCCTAAATAAACTTTCCTCATGGGATGCTTTTTATGAAAGTTCCTGAACTTTCTCAAAGATTTTTTTGGGTGGACTTTCAGAACAGTTTGGGGCTGGCCTGTACAAGGCCTTCCTTACACACCATTCGTATTCTGGTACTACGTTCGCGGCATTTTGATTCTGTGGGGAGTGCGCGAGTTCAAGGTCAGAGAGATTGACTTGTGCTGTTCATTATAACCAATTATTCTGTGACAAATGAGTTTGAAATCAGGCTGAAAATTCTGTACGAAAAATCAATAGTTCTAATCAGGCCCTTTCAGGTCATTTACACCCACCTTTTGTTGGTTCGTCAGAGAAGAGCCAGATAAAACCTCTCTGACAGCACGGTCTCCCTACTGTTGCCGTTTCCATTCGAAACATGTTTTGATATCTTAAATGAATAGTTTAATTGGTTTCAAACTTGTAAATGAGTGGAAATTTACATTATTTCAATAGTTTCTAATATTCTGATAAGATTTTCCAAATTAGCTTGAGCTGCGTGTAATCGTTTCTCCCTCCCCAGAGGAAGGAGTTATCCTTAAAGTCTATAAGCAGATTTTGAATGGCTTCTTTCCGATCCCGAGCGGAGCGTTTTTTGGGAGGCGCGCTTTCTCGGGCCGCTGCCCCGGCCCGGCTCAGCTGGCTTCGCCTCCTGCTCCGCAGTAAAGCAGCCGTGTGTTCTCTTGCAGTTCCCTGACGAAGACGAAGAAACGAGGCTGTATCGCTTGAAGATAGAAGAACAGAAGCGCCTGCGAGAAGAGATCCTCAAGCAGAAGGAGCTGCGCCGGCAGCAGCAGGCGGGCGCGAGGAAGAAGGAGCTGCTCGAGAGGCTGGCCCAGCAGCAGCAGCTCCACCTGCCCCCCCCGGCCGCGGCCCAGCAGGAACAGCCCGCTGCCGCCCCGTCGCCCACCAACGGGAGCCCACTGTTACCCTTCCCAGGTGCACAGGTCAGACAAAATGTGAAAAACAGACTTCTCGTGAAAAACCAGGATGTCACTGTTTCAAATGTTCAGCCCAAAACATCCAATTTTGTGCCGTCTGGTGCTAACATGCAGTATCAAGGACAACTGATGAAACCGTTGAAACACTTGAGACAGGCCAGAACCGTACCTCAGAGTCCAGCTCAGCACAAAGTCCTGCAGGTCAAACCTGCGGACGGGGAGGGGCCGCCACCCCCCTCACAGACCGCTCGAGTGGCGTCCCTGCAGGGCCGGCCCCCGGACGCCAAGCCCGGCGCGAAAAGGACTGTCATGCACCGGGCAAACAGCGGTGGCGGAGATGGGCCGCACGTCAGCTCCAAGGTCAGGGTGATTAAGTTGTCAGGCGGGGTAAGTTGACGAGGTAACTGGTGCCTCTTGGAATCTGTGCTTCCCTCAGAATGTCCTAATTCCCAGAGAAGGGTTTCGAAGAGAGGGAAGTCAGAGCTGCCTCTGTTCCGGCCCCGCGGGCCAGCCGCTCCGTGCTCACACTTGGTGACGAGAGTCGCCGTTGAGGTTCTCCTTCCGGCCGGGACCCGTGGTCTTTCAGACTCTGTCTTGAGTTTTCCTGAAAGACCAGTGGGACAGTCCCCAAATTAGGTGTTTCTCACTTGTAGCTTATTTTTGTAGATAATTTGTGATAGAACCATCAGGTTTGTTTTAAAAATAAAATTTCCTTTACCAAAAAACAAGTAATCTGTTGTGTGCAGCTGTAGGTCCAGGGAGCACCCGGGGGGCAAGCGTGCGTCGTGCGGCTGCTTTTAAGCGGTGGGGTTTCAGAGGCCGGTCCCGTCTTCTCTTCTCAAGCTAATCTCTGCCCTCGTGAAGACCAAAAGGATTAACCAAATCTGCAGTGAAGTGTCCTGTACAATCTTACCACCTGCGTGCAGAAGGGGAGTGTGCCTCCTTTCTTTCTTTCCTTTCAGGCGGTGCCCCTTCTAGATCATTCTCAGTGAGGCACAGCCATTGTGATTCGGATGAGCTCTGTACTCCAAGTAGACACAGTTGCTGCAGACAGGTCGCCCTGCGGAAGGTTCTCAGGCAGCGCTCTGGAGCATCCGTCCCTACCGTGCCACGTGCTCTTGACCCGCTCACGGGAGGGGACTCGTCTGTCCTGTGTTGATGGCAGGGCGCCCTGCGGTCCGCGTCAGGACGGCGCTGCCCCTTGCATGCCATCTGTGCTGTGCACGGAGGAAGGAAGGGCAGGACCGCAGACGCAGGCCCTCGGAGCAGGCCAGCGACACCCGAAGGGACAGCTCGTCGCTGCTCGTTTAAGGAGTTCAGTTTTATCTTTTATTTCTAGGTCCGTAGACTGAAAGTGTGAGCTTTTCACGTGCGATGAGAAAAATTTTGATAGAATAGTATGATCTGGAGATTCCGTCTTCAACAGACCCTGTGCTGTTTTTTCAGATCTGTTTTTCTCACCTCCGTTCATTGTGATTCAGAGTGTGGATAAGCAGATGGCCTCTATCACGTTAGCTTGTCTCATCATTGTATGAATTTGTTTTCTTCAGGCAAGACCTAAGCAGGAAGCAGTTTCACGGTATCTGTGGTCTTCTGTTTTGACCTTATTTTAGGCAGACTTTGTCAGTGTCTCATTTTTTTGCTTGAGTTAAAAACTTAGGAGGAGGGGACATGGGGCCACGGGGCCACGGTTGGGAGGAGGCCTTTTCCCGTGACATTCATGGTTGGTGTTGTGTGTAGTGTGGCTTGTGTGAAGTGAGGGTCTCTCGTGGGCTGGGAGGTCCGGGGGCTGCTGTGCTCTGAGAGCGGCTTTCACACTAACAAGCGCCTTTCCTTTAAAAGAATTTATCTACTTAAATTTTTGTTTTTTTCTCCAGTGGGGGGAAGATGTATATTTTGTAAGACTGTATTCCAGAATCCTGCTGTCTAATTATATAGCACACAGAGGAACAACAGAGGACTGCTGCGCGAAAATAGCTCCTTGACAGCATTTGGAATAACTTTTTATCCCTTTGTAATTCTTAAGTCACCTAACTAACATGTTCTGTGTCTTAGGATTTATTCCAGCAAGTCCTGCAGTGGCGTGTCGGCAACCTTCAGCTTACTGGGGGGTCAGTATCCCTTGTGTGTCTGCCTCTGGACCAGAGAAAACTGGTATTTCCCAAGAGGCCTTGGGTCTTTGTGTGTGGGTAGAACTGTTCTTAGGAGAACATATTCGTAACTGTGCAGGTGATGCAAAAAGGAAACCATTCGTTAGGTGCTGGGTCAGCTCCCATTTCTCCTGCCTCTTGTCTCTGCCCCTGCGGGCCCCGGTGTTAACGCCTGGGGCTCAGCCGGCACCCTGGTAAGGCTTTGACAGGCTTAGCACATCACACCCGTGCAGAGCAGTATTTATGCACTTCAGGTTTATAATCACTTACGGAATAAAAGCATCTCGTCGTCTGTTCATGTTCTTGTATTTTGTCGCGAGGCCTGGACTTCTCTACATCCTGTTAGGGCAGAGGCACGGGACATTGTCCTTACAAGGTTTCCTAGAGAGGTTTACTGTGGAGAGGATCAGTTTGTTTCCTTTGCTTTTTTCTGACCTAAACTGGCGGCAAATAGATGCAGTTACATTATCCTTTCCAGTCGTTGTGGCCTCCTCTAGTTGCATTGCTCGGTCTCTAGGGAGGACGTAGGACGCGGCCGTGCATAGTGTCCCGCCGGAAGGTCCGGTGGTCACAGTTGAGCTCGGTGTCCATCGGATGCTTAGGAAAGCAGAAATGTCTCTGAACTCTTATTCTCATGTACAAATTGGAAATGCCTTAAAACTTAATTTGGATTCTCCAGGTGTGCCTGTGAGGCGATTGTGAATCAATACAAAGTTCTCTTTTGTTATTTTCCGTATTTCATTATTTATAATCAAATAATCTTTGGGTTTTATTAAATTGGGTTTTTTAAAATGTGAAAGAGCCAAGTCTTAAAACAGTAGTTATTTTCTTAGTCGTTTTATTATTTTATTTTTAAAGTGATTTTAATTCACCCTAATCACAAGAGAATTTCTCTCTGTTACGGCTAATGCATCCCGGGCATAGGAAGCGTTTTCAAACAGAATTTAATAAAAATGCTTTGTGGGTCCAAGTGCTCACAGTCACGGCGACGAGTGGCGTGGTAAAGCCCGAAGAGTGGTGGTTCGCCCTCACCGGGGCTCTCTGTTGGCACCTTCGTGGTCACTGTCGTTGTGAGACGCCCTTTCACGGAAGGTAGCGGTGGAAGCGCTCCGTCGCCCGGACAGAGCGCTCCCGTCCCTCCGTCTGCGGTGGCGCGACACGGTGGGACCGGAGTGGCTGTCCGGGAGGAGGACCCGCGTCTGGGTGGGCGCGTGTCGGTCCCTTCCTCTGCACCCAGTCTCTGGGCTCCGCGCCGGTTGTACAGTGGCCGTGGGAGCGCGTGGCGGCGCGTGCGGCGTGCGGAAGGCGCCCCGCGCCCGTGTGCTCGCTGCTCGCTTCGCCGGCGCTGCTGAGGCCCCGCAGGAGCGCGGCCGCGGCTCCGCCGCACGGTGGTGCTGCCGAGCGCATGCGCGGGGCGGCCTCGTGAGCCGGGTGCCTGCGCGCCCGCGGCCGGGGGAGGGGGACTCCGTCCCGGAGACGTCGTGCGAGTAGCCCGGGGCCCCGCAGCTGCTGGTGGCCGGGGCCAAGGTTCTCGGGACTGGCACCCGTAACGGATGCAGATGTGGTTCGCCTGCTGCCTTGTTCCGAGGTGTCCCTACTTCTCGGTCAGCGATGGCACCGGCGGTTCCCGGGGCTTCGTGGCAGCATCGATTCGGAAACGTTGTAGCCGGGGCTTCTCCCGTGAGGGGTGATGAGCTTCCACTTCTCTGGCCGACCCCAGCGTCGCGACCGCCTGGAGAGTGCTGAGACGGTTCCGAAGTTGGAGGAAAGTGTTCTGATGGGTGCACAGCAGCGGCGCTGTGGGTACAGGACTGGAGTGTGGCCGGGTTTCCCTCATTCCTGTTCTAGAACTTGGACATGGGGCTAAGCACGGCCGGGGGTCCTGACCTCTGGCCCGGCGGAGCGAGGGTGGGCGTAGCCGGGCGCCCTGCGGCTGTAACTGGCGTGTGCTCCTGTGTGAGTCGAGTGAGGTCACATTTTGTATAGAAAACGCTGGGGTGGAAACGAGGGCGATTTGCTGTTTAAAGAGACCTGTGTTGGGAGACTCAGCAGCAGGTGTGTGGATCGCGGCTCTCCCGCTCCGAGTTAGTGGTCTGGCTCCGCTCGGCCGGACCGCCAAAGCAGGGAGTGCGCGTCGGGTGGCGGTTTGCCAAGCCTTGGATCTTGTTGAGCGTTTCCAGAATTTCATACGCCTTCCCGGGGTACTTACACGTCAGTAATCTACCTGAAGAGCTGTATTTGACGGAATGCTTCTTTTTTATTATGTCCTGTGTGGAAAAATTCACTTGCTCATGTCTCAGAAAGATACTTTAAGTATTTAATTTTCAGACCCCAGAAGAGCAATCTTTTTACATAGTTTTGTTTATAACCAATACGTAATCCAGGAAAACTACTCAAGCAAAAACACAAGACTATGAAGTGTGTACTCAGTGTAAACTCGCTGTCGTCACGCACCCCTCCTTTGGGAGCACACAGCAGGAAAGAGCCCGAGCGCGCGCCACGGGGCCTCCCTCCCGGAGGTCTTGCGCCAGGACTGCAGCTCTGGGTCTGGGCTACGCGCGTTGGGTCGTGGCTTCAGGGAACCTTCATTCGTGGCCCCCATGGGCCCCGGTGTCCTCTGGAAGCTGCGGTGTGCTCCCCCAGGCCGGCTGGGAGGGTCCCAGGCCGGGCTGGGTGCGAGGAGCCGCTCTCGGAGGCCGCCCCAGGGAGGAGCAGCGGCTTAGAGCGGCAGTTTCTGGAGCTCTTGAAGAAGACGGAAGCAAACTCTGAATTCAGCGGCTTTATTCTAATTGAGGTAATAAAAATTTTAAGGATTTGGCAGCAAATTAAGTAAACAGTCCTTTGTTCTGCCGACCACACAGAGAAGTGGGAGAAGCCAGAATGCCTCAGCAGGAAAGCCAGCTGTCCAGTTGCGATACTCTTGTATTTTATTTTTAAAAGGCTGTCAAGTGCTGCTGGCAGAAGGTCCCAGCGTACCTGTGCGCGTGCGCTTGCTCTGGGGGGTCGGACTGCATTTGGACGTTCCTGCCCTCCCCCGCTCCCAGGTTATGCTCAGACTTTCTTCAGGATGTGGTAGAAGAGGGAGCACGTACATACCTGATTGTTCCGTGTTTGGTGGAGGACGTTTTATTTTGATGTAATTTCGGTCGAAGAGAAGTTGCAAAAACAGGATAAGGACCCCCCTCCTTTACGTTTTGCCCCGTTGCGTTGCCGCCGTCTCTCTCTGCCCGCCCCACA